CATCTCTCTAATCAGCTCTGTCAAGATTGCATTAGTCATAATTAAACAACAAAATAGTAAATGTACAGTCAGGAAACACCACTCAGCTTGGACACATTTCCAATTTTTTTAACAATAGTTGATTTTCTTTTTAAACCTGAAAAAAATGCTGGCATTCAGTAAGAATAGAAACCCCACCTTGGACAGAGAATGTAAGATAAGCAACAAGCCCATTTTATCTTCTCTGATTTATAGTAAATTTGGAACACTTGGGATTTACACTTGACCTTTGCTTGAATTCTGGTTCACTGTCATTGTATCACGCTCATGTTGCTGCCTGTAATTCATGGAATGAAGACTCTGCCAACACAGACAGCTACAACACACCAGTGAATCAGAATTACAAAGATTCATATTCTGATTTCCCTGCCAGAATATTGTCTTGATATTTTAGTAATCTAATTACAGCAGATCTATTTGTGGAGTTAAGCACTACTTACTTTTAGCAACAGAATTTAGAGTGATCACAAGTAGTTAACTTGATGCTCTTGAATTTTTATTCTTGTTATATGATCAAACTGACTGTAGATATACCAGTGCATCCTAAAAACTTGAGAATCTTCTGGTGAATTTCAACAAATTCTGATAGATCAGTGAGGGATTCCAAAATATTGTGTTCTTATCTCACATTTGCAAAGCACATACCTCACGGCTTGCAAAATATTTTGTTCTTCCCTTGTTCACCAGCAGCCAGCCAGCAACCAGCTGATCTGTATGCACACACAGCTCATAGGAATAGGCATTCCCCTCTATGTCCTGCTTTTTGGCCAGATGAGAGAGTTTTACTGGAGATTAAAAAAAATACAGAGAGATCAGGGTGACAGGAATTTAGGAGGCAAGGAGGAGGCCTGCAGAAGGGGAGATGCAAGGGGATTTGGTGGAGAGCTAGGCAGTAACAGCCACAGAAGTTGCTCAGGAGGCTGTGGGTGATAGCAGGAGATAGTTGGGAAGAGAAATTGTTGAGGCAGATGGGGGATTAGGATGCAAATACATAGTAATCCAAACTTCTTTGAATCAGATGCTCATGGAAAAATATGTTTTACTAGAGGTCATTGCTAGAGGTTGAACTAGACAATCTCCAGAGGTGCCTTTACAGTTCATCCTTTTCAGCAACTGTCCCTCTAATTGCAATTATTTCAGTTTGTGCATGAGTTAATATAACCAAAGGGCATTCGTGGCTATTGTAGCAAAAAATGTGGACAGGGACGTAGAAGAAAAACAGACCACAGTACATGGTAATATGACAGAGAAATCATTCATTTATGATTTGATGTACAAAACATGATAAAAATAGGATTAGATTCCTGAATTTAATATTTTCTAATTTGAATATTAAGTAAATTATTAGAGGAAGTATAGGATTCTGCAGCTCCTAGAGAAAAAAAAAAAGTCATAAATAAATTTAGGATCAAAGGCTTCAGCCTATTTTAAAATAAGAAACAAAACAAACAAACAAAAAAGCACATAAATGAGAACTCAGTTAAAAGAACTGGCAGAGAAAAAAAAACTATAAAGACAGATGATAAAGTAAATCAAGAAGGGCCTAAGAATACATTGTTGTTAGATCAGTGCTTTGAATTAACTTTAATGGGTGGAGCCAGGAAGCAACAATGAGGATAAAATGAACCATATGTCCTGAAATAATTAGATAATTCTCCAACCCAGCCCACATAGTTTTGCTGGTTTAGGCCTGTTTCATGGCTGGGTCCTCATGTTCCAGGGGGGTCCTCCATCTATTTCCCCCAGTCCTTACTAAGTTCCTTTGCAACCACAAGCAGATGTTCTCCAGACAAAGCTTTAGAGGAGAAAACTGTGTGAGAAGGTTAAAATAGCTCCTGGATCATGTGGGATCTGCACAGAACTGGTCATATTACAGAGACTTTTTAAGAGCAGGCAAATGAACATGGACTAGGAAGGAGATGGATAACTTTATGCATCTAAATGTATTACAGTCTTAAAAATCACACAGCACATTGATGGGGAAAATGAGGGGG